AGAGAGAGATTGATTTTCCTCTTTGACCATATTCTCTGACCAACTGCAGTGGTTTCTCAAACCCATTAACACCCCAAGCAGGAGGCTAATTTATCTTTCTGCTCCAGTCCCAAAGGATATCAATTATCAAAATTTTAGTTTTCAGTTCAATTAACTTTTGAACTGGAGGATGTCTGAGTAGCTAGGCAAACCATCTGGGTTTTACAGTGCAGAAGCTCAAATCCAATTTGTATCTTTCTTGAGAAAAATGCCATATTTTATGATAATATTACATAAGTTTGGAATTTTAATAACTCCTTTGCAGCAATTATGGAGCAGAATAACTTATGATTTTTCCCTTTAAAATCTAATAATTAAAGGTTAGTTTTTCTGTAACAGACGGTGAGGGTGATCCACAGAATGTGGTTGAAATGCAAGGATTTTCAACCTTGCTTCTGCTCACCAAAGTGCCTGGAGATGGGCTAGCTATGCTTCTGGATTATTCTACAGGGTCATACCATCTTCCAGATACCTTTACAAGTGTGTGTGTGTGTGTGTGTGTGTGTGTGTGTGTATGTGTGTGTGTGAGTGTTTGTGTGTGTGTGTGTGCTACCCTAAGGCTTCATTCAGATTAAACTTCTGACTGCCCTTAAGCACATATATTTAAGAACTTGCACAATGTAAGATATTCCTCTGTTAAAATGCTCTCTTGCTGGTTTATTGTACAGCAATTCATTAACACAAGATGATAAGAAAATTTCAGTAATTGACTCAATGTACAAATAATGTAAATTGGAGGACATCCTATCTTGTTTTTAAAGAATATCTTGTCTTCCAAAATCTGTGTCACAAATTGTGGTTAACACCAGAAGACCCTTGGCTGGTGTAACTATTTTCTTTGCTTAAATCTGTTACAAGTCTCAGATTTGAACAAATAGAAAACATGCACAGCTTCAAGGCAAAAAGTTTGGTTTTATTTATGATTGGGGAAGATACAAATTATAAGAAAAAAAGTTATTATATTGAAAGATTAATTTTAAAAATTTTCCGTTTCTATCTTTAAAGTCATGGCTGTTGGAAGGCTACTTGATAAAGCAGTTATACAGTTTAGCCTATCCAGGAAGCTTTTAATAACCAGAAAAGTTAACTGAATTCATTTAAAAATCATTCTTAGTTGATTTTATGAAGGTTATAATCCAAGGAGCATTCACAGTGATTTAGGGACAAATGAGCACTCGTTAGTGAGAAACCTGAGCAAGAATAATGTCTCTCATTATGGTGTCTTTCTCAGTAGGGCTAACTGTTTCTCAGGGAATTGTTTTTTTGCAACTGGTAGAAGATAAACATCTCCTAATACCCCCTAGCTCCCATTTTTAAATGAAAACATGTCCTGTTTAATGACTACGATCAACACTCTTTGAAATTAAGAGCAGGTACATGTACTTCAATGACAGCCTGGGGCACATAAAGCTTGAACTTCAATCCACTGGGCTGCCTTGTCTTTATTTATAGCTAGTTTATGCTGGGAAGTTGTTCCTACCTCAGCTGTTAGTTTCATTTTGTTAATGCTGCTGTGCGATGGGAATGCAGATGGACAGACATACAAATAAGTGCTTTGGGATATGGTGGTTCAGGTTCTTTGTAAACCTGTATTTCTGTAGTTTTTTTTTTTTTTAAGAAGGCATCAGGTTGAGTTCTTTATTGAAATCCAGCTCTTCATATAATACAGAGAAAGCTTAGCAGAGATGCTGTAGGTAGCAGAAAGGAAAAATGGGATCAGCCAGGTGGACATGTAAAGGATTGCTAACAGGTTTTCAGACTAAATTTTTGGGGCAATTCTGTCAAGGTCACATAGAGGCTTATGGTTTTTTTCTGTCTCTATTTTCTTTCAAGATGACTTAGAAAGAAAGCACGTATGAGTAAGATGACATAAAGCATTTTTAGATAGATTATAAAAATATTTACTGAAGAAAAGAAAAAATGGCTCAAAAATAAGAAATATCAAAGAACTTTGTAAACATACAATGTTTTAATTCGTCCACAGTTCTCTATTTTTGTCATGCAAAGAACAAACAAAGTGGGCTGTTTCCTTATTTTTACATTTAAGTTTAAGAACATGATGTTCTTCATCTTCAAATTTTAAATGAAAGATTATCATTCATAAAACATCCTGGTCTTAGGATGGTAATGGTGGATGTGAATACATTCTAAATGTTACTTTCCAATCATGACAAAGCTGCACTGACCTACTTATTAGTGCTGGCCTTCCCAGCTGTCAGTAATAGCCAGTGCATTTGAAAACATGGCATCTGTGTTTCTGCCCATGCCCTCTTGGAGTCCCAGGCAAGTGAGCCTGAACTTTGACCTTTGCTTTGTCATCACTGAGCTTCTTATGTTGTATTTGACAATGTAAGCTTAGGCCTTCTGACCAGTTCAATAACAGGACCATGATGAATGCCTACTGACATTCCCTGAGCTTTTGTTCTTCACCTGTCCCTCCCCCCAAAAGTGCTAGGATTATTGGCACACCTTTCACTGGGCTGAAACACCTCTGAATTATTACTTGATGCTTTTCAATTTTTTTTTGTTAAAATAGATGATTTTTGTTACAATTTTTCATTAGTAGAAGATTGTTGAAAAAATAGCATTTTTTTTAATTTGAAGAGTAAATAATACTAGCCATGATCTAGATATTAGAAAGTAAACTGTCCAATACATGCATTTACCTCAAATTTGGTAGGAGACAAATTAATTCTAAAATTTCAAATGGAATTACCTCAGTCCTTGAGCAAATCCTTAGATATGTTCATACGCTTAACAGAAAGATGACATGAGTTATAAGATGAGTTAATCCTGTAACTTATTTATTCTTTATTTAGTGTCTACATCATAGCTGATAGCAAGCTCTGACCAGGATTGTCATAGTCTCTTTCCCCATACATGCTGGTTTTTTCCTCCTAGGAAAACATTTTAAATACTAACACATCTGTAATACTTACATAACACCTAGGCAGCAATTCCATCTCTAGGCATTTATACAAAATAGCTAATTGAACATGTATAGAATTGAGAATGCACAAAGGTTTCTGAGCCTTTTAAAAATAACAAAATAGTGTGATTACCCTAAATATCTATTAAAAGACTGATAAACCATTGGTATCTTCAGTCCATACAGTACAATATTAAATAGTGGCCCAATATAACAACAAGCATCTATGAATGTTAATGAAGATGTCCATAATACAATATTAAGTGTGAAAACTACTTAGAAAGTTCATTTACATTATATATACACAAACATTGAAAAGGTATGGAATATATTATCCAGCTAATTATGTCAAATGAAGTTAGAATAAAATAGTGTATTATAATTACTTAAGCCTACTATACGACCACAAATTATGGCTCCACCTATTTCTAGTTGGGATAATCTGACCTAATAACTCCTATGCATTTTAGTTCCTTCATGAATAAAATTTGTAAATTAATAGTAGCAATTCATTATTGGGCAAATTAAATCAGATAGGACATACAGAAGGCTTGAATAATTCCTAGTCTATAAGAAATTATAAATTTTCAATAATAGGCAAAATATTGGATTGACAGAATTAGAGGAGATCTTTCCCTTCTTTTGGTTGTTTACATTTTCTAAACTGTCTACATTGTCCTTGGCTTTAGATCTTATAGACAGACTTGTTTAAATCTTTACAGGGACGTTAGAAAAGCATGATTTAAAAATATCTTAGGAAACAATAAAAAATAGACATGGTACTTACTGACTTCTGTTAGGCGGGGCTTGCTCAGAAAGGAGGTGTTCCTGATGTTTACTCACACTCAGAACCAGCGAAGTTTACTAGTATACTTTTAACAATGCTTACTATGTGGGGCGCTAAGGATACCACGGCTCTAGTCCTGTTATCAGGAGCACCTGAGACTAGCATTTAGTTCAATGATATGAGGCGTGGGGGCTTGTGCTATCAAATGGGGGCACTGAGTGATTCAAGTTGTGACACTTATGTTTTGAAAACAGAATGTTGGAGCCCTTCCATTCCCACATTGGCTTGCCTTTGCATAATCTGACCTCTTCTTTGGGACTTCTGAAGGAACTTGGTGAGTTTCACTGGACAAGTGCTGGAAGCAGTAGTGATTTTCACTATAAAAGCAAAGAGTTGGTATCGAGAAAAGTCATTTATTATTTGATTTAATAAACAGTGTCAAAAGATAAAAGAGATCTGGGGGACAACTGGTGAGAACTAATTTCTGTTACTTTATTTAAACCTGAGAACTTGGATCTTTAAAGTGTGAATATAGAATATTGAAGGAAATTATGAAGATAAATTCTTAGGCTTGAAAAGTTTGTAGTAATGATTTGTTTAAGTTATTGTTTTTAAAGCATATACAATTTCTTCAAAAGAATATACACATGACACTTAAGTCCCTTAAGCACAATCAGAAAGTTTGGAACTTAGAGACTATTTTGAAGACTTAGTAGCAGTATTGACTTAAGAAAACTATGTGTACTTTTTCTTCTTTGTACCTTGTTACTCATGTTCTTAAGCTTTAGGATATTATTAAGAAAAAACTTTTTAATAGAACTTTGGTTTTAGAAAGAAAAGCTAACTCATCCTTGTTAAGGCACTGAATAAAATATTATCTCATTTCAATCTTGTCATCCTTTGTTTGGATTCTGATACAAAGCTTCCAGGATCAGGTAGGAGCTCACTTTCTAACTTCATTTCTACGAAGTACACTTCTATAGACCTAAATAGTAATTATTCAAACTATTAAATGTATAATATTTTGACTTTTATATTACCCCATAGATAACATTTTTGACACTTTAATCAGGTAATTTGAGGCTCCAGGGTAACAAAGATAATACATGAGTCTCAGTGGGGATCTGGACTAGAATATTCTAGACTAGGCTAGCAAGATGGCTTACCTCTTGAAAGAACTGCTGCCAAGTGTAATGACCAAAGGCCTAGCCCTGGAAACCACACAGCAGAACGAAAAACTGATTCATGCAAGTTGTCCTCTGGATTCCACATACTTGCTCTTCTATGTGTATTTTCCAAAATAAATAAAAAAATATTTACAATTTAGTATCTATATATAGAAGTAAATTACGGGAAATTTTGACACAAAATATAGGGTTTAATGAATGTAATTGTTTTTAATACAAATGATTATACTGAAATCTCCTGACAAAGCTGAGGCACACACTTAAGTTGTACTAATTCTGTGGCCTTTAGACTTACTCATAATTTCCAAAGGTTGATGAAATCATTAAAATAACGTCTTCCTCATACAAATCACACATTCATCCTGAAGAGAGGCTCTTTAGCTAATTGGATTGGTCAATGATTCTTATGACTTTAACTTGAATGTGGAAACTCAGTTGAATCTTTTTTCCCCTTCTATATGTACAGTAACAAGGCAAAGACTCTACCTTTGTCTGTTTATGCTACAAAAAAGATAGAAGACTTTTCTAACATGTTTGGTGAGAGAATCCCAACTATAGATCATTAGGAAATTAAATGGAAAGAACAGAATTTCAGCCACCTAGCTCATACTGTTAAGATCTGCAAAAAGTTTCTCTAATGCAAAAATATTCTTTTAAATTATGTAAACTATGTACTAGAGGAACCATAGCTTCATGACAGCAAACGACTCTCTGTTCCATTGATAGCACCTACCGTGTAATTGGGATTAATATATATTGGATGAATGAATGGATACAAATTAAAAGAAGGTACACAAGTGAAGCAGTTGCCAAAATCTATGTGCTGCTTCATTCTAGAAAGCAGAAAGACATAGGGTAATTATATAAGTGCCTTCACAAATTAATTTGGGGAAATAAAATACTTGACATGATTTTGTAATGCTTACAGTAATGACTGTAAGCAGACCGAAGCAATGGTGTCATTAAATCAAGTAAATGTTTTACAGTTCTATGCCTGAGAGCCAGACTCTCCAGCAAATAGTTAGTTTCATATCCCAGGTCTCTCAACATTCATCTAACACCAGTCAGTTCATACACTTTATTCTGAAAATATAAAAATTTCAGTAAATTGATAATTTATGAATGTTATAAGCTGTTGTTCTTTCTTCCTTTAAAATGAAATGTATCTCCAACATGAGTAGTTTTGTAACCAATGTTTTATCATGTGAAGTTTTGTTTAATTCTGTTTTGTTTATAGCTAAACTATTATACTTTAATTGAAATAAAAATTTCTAAGCAACAACAACAACAGCAGATAATTAAAATAGAAATATCCAAAGGCTTGGGACCAGTGATTTATTCTATAAAATACAATTTGAAAAATGTTGATTTTGTTCCAAAATAATTTATATGCATTCCTTGCATTGCATTGCATCTTTGTTGATGCTTTTAATGTTCACTCTAATGATATTTTCTAAAAATCTGTATGACACAGCCTTTTATTATTATTACTAAGCCTATTGGCTGAAATGTGTCTCCAATAATCATAGGTAATATTTACTGAGTAGATTAAATAACAGAGTGATGTAAACAGTGAAGGGAGGGACCTAGATTGGCTTCCTCTGAAGGGCATGATCATTTTCTAAAATCATAAACATTTCTAAAACATTTTAGGAATAAATCATAATTTTCATTGAAAGAAAAAGGAAAGAAAAGTAGATCATAGGAACCAAGACCAATCCTGATTTCTGTCCATTTGATAGAAATTTTAAGTGGATGAGTAGGGTATCATTCATTGAAGCTCACCTTTTAAAATGTTGTAGGAGAGTGCTTGCTTTGATGATACTGGAGCTACTTTAATGAGACTAGAATTCTGATCTGCTGAGCTGCAGCTACTAGTAATGGTTTCCAAGTCAAAGGTACAATAGGAGCAAAGCCCCGTCTCAACACCTATCCTACAAGAGGAGCCATTTACAACATAACCTACACAGTGCAGACACTGTGCTCCTTCATAGAGACACCTGTTGCTGCCATTGTCACTGTAGTCTTCCTGCTCAAGACCTTCAATTTTCTCGTTTGCCTTCCTGCTTCAGTACATTTGATAAGGCACTTCTAATTTGATATTCCAACAAACACCATTTCCACCAGTGATTTCAAAACTCTTTCTTACCTATCTCATTCTAAGAGAATGGAACCATGGCATGAATTCTTGTTTAGAAAAGTGTTCTTAACAGACCATTTCAAAAGATATTCTGGAAGGAAGGATCTGAGTCAAAGAAGCCCACACAAATCTAAGTGACAAATTCTGTGGCTTGATGATGGCTTCCTCAACTCTGTGGGCTTTGTGTGTTAAATGCAAGGTTCTTGAGGAAAGAATGAAGGTTCTGTTTAGGAAAGGAGTGGATAGTTAGACAATCTCCTTTACCTGTGGCTGGTTAGATTTATAGACTGTTAACTATAGACAGTGACTTCTCTCAATTTACAAGCTTGAATCCCCCAGGGACAATCAGATATCTGCCACAACTCCATCTAATCCAATCTCCACAGTTGTGGACTTTCGAGTGTTAAAGTCTACTGTCTCTTTTATGCGTGTTTCTTTATGACCTAACTACCACCTCTCCCACTCTGGAGCCTGCTCACTGTGACTCATGCTGAATGACAAAAACATAATCTTTTACTTCTCTAAAGTGTTCTTTGCACACTTTAGGCCTAACTGATGTCTATCTGGAGGGAGCATTTCTTCATTTCTTCTGCAGAACTCCAAAGTGGTGTTCGATCTTTCTCCGATGCTTGCACACATCTGGGGGTGGAGATGGGACAGTGTCTTCCATGATCCTCACCACTGCTACTTCAGACTATCCTCCTCTCCTTTCTAAAATTCTCAGCTTCAGCTCTCATGTCATCTGAAGACATTCTCCATTAGCTTGCTTCTTGCAGTAATTATTCATTTGAACCTATCTTCTCACATCTTAGATTTACCCAGAACCCTATTCAGTTCCTCTAATGCTTGTCATCATCCTAGGCAATTTTGTTTTCTGAGTAAGTAAATCTATAATTCATTAGCTTCTCAGTTCTTTTAGCTCTTTTTCTTTAGTGATTGTACGTTTCATCCATTATTCCAGGTATATTCTTTGTTGTATGGTATTGAGAGCTAGATAGTGCCTCCAATACTCTACTTTGAAGAATGCTACTGATAATCCATGGTACTTTATAAAGTCTAACAACTTTTACAACTATGGTAATAGAAAGCCTAATCATACCCTTTGGTTTTCTCTCTTTTATTAGTTCTCTCTCAGTCCACTAATATATGTTTGTAAGGTGCATATGTATAGTTGTTTTCTAGATATGAATATATACGGCATGATTGTCCTATCAGTATTTTTGTTAGGACAGTCAATAAAGTATTAGGCTCAGGAAATATTAAAGAATACTATATGAATGAATTGTGCTAGCAACAAAGATAATTTCAAATAGTCAGTACTCTTCTTATTATATGTTTATATTATATTCAGATCTATATCAAATTTATATATTTCATTGTTATAACAATACAGACAGCCTTAGTAACTAATGTTCAGAGAAACCATGTTTGCCATCAATGCTCTGTTCTCTCAGAGCCATGATTACCAGCTTATTTTATTTCCTTAAGATTTTGTTTTCTCATCTTCTAAAAAAATGTAGTAACACAAATTTAAATATTTCCTGTAGTTAATTCTAATATTATTTGGTTAATTGCAGAAAACACCCATTTCATTTTCTTCTAATGCTTACAACATACCCCCACCCCCACCACTTACCCCTCTGTGGTGAAAGGTATCCATTACCTACCCCTCCTGCATGCCCTTCTAGAGGTCAGGATAAGAGAGGAGAAGTCATATTCTTTGTTCTAACCTTCCTGTGGGGTATAAAGGCAACAAAAAGAAGGGTGGGAACCAGGGATTTTCTACTCATTTTAGAAGTATAAAATAGACAAAAACAGCCATTCTAGATAGATTTAATTTTATACAGGGATCTATAATAAAACCACAATTAGATTGAGAGATGTATGAAGCTTTTTTGAATGTGTTCTTTCATTGCTACAACCTTGTCAATTCTATGACTACCCATTTCCAGAATTTTACTGCAACCATCAAATGCCTTTTTATTTTCATTCTTTGGGTATAATTTT